GAGACGGGGTTTCACCGTGTTAGCCAGGATGGTCTTGATCTCCTGACCTCGTGATCCGCCCGTCTCAGCCTCCCAAAGTGCTGGGATTGAGCCACCGTGCCCGTGCCCGGCCGACTTATCCTTAATACAACCTTTTGTAATAGTTAATTCAGAACTAGCTAAATCTCGAAGATGCCAATAAACATGATAATGATTAGCCATTTCATTCAAATATAAAATCACGCAAGATCCTTTTTACAGGTAAACAGGAGAACGTAAGGAAAGCTTATTTACCTGAGGGGAGAGTAATGGAGGAGGCACTTGAGCACGGAGATTAGGCTGAGATGAACTAAGAGGTTGTGCTGGAGGCTGCTGCATGCCCCGGGGTTGTGCTGCTGTGTTTCCAACACCAAACATACTGGGATTGCCATTCTACAAAAACAAACAGCAACAAGTAACAGTGGGATTCTTTAGGGACAAACATCTCATTGCCACATTGTACTATGATTTAAACACAGTAACTACATGTAAGAGAGATCTTATTACTAATACAAATCATTCAACTGAGAGCCTAAAATACACATCTGGACTTACCTGTCTAACAGAATTCAAGTTTTGCATACCCAGCCCTGCTATGGAGCCAAGGGCCTGGTTAGGTAGTGCACTATTTGAAGGGGGAAGCTTCATGCTTTGACTGGACATAAACTGCATGTTTTGGGATTCATCTGCTACAATGCCATCCTGATTGGACAGACAGAAAGATGTGCAACACCAGCCAAGCAAACAAGTGGAAGGGAGAAATCATTGCAGGAACAGAAGAGAAGTCACATGACATTCCAGCATCAACAGGAAACAGGTAGAAAACAGAAGAGATCAGATTAGTGTTAATTCTAGAGCACACAAAAAGAGCCAAACATATTTCATGGGATTAAGAAGAAAAATATAAATGCAACCTCTATGCTAAATTGAGACATAAAAAGACAGTGAACTTCAAAATCCAGTAATAAGATTTGGTACTGGATTGCAACACTTTATATTATATAAAATGTTTTAAAATATTAGTGTGAAAATTATGCTATTAAGTGTACCGGTTTATCAAGTCAGAGGTAAAAGTAAAACACCTTACCTTATCAAAATAAGGATTGCGCTCCATGGAAGACTCTTTGGAAATCTGAGGCCGAGAACCAGGGCCTTTCCCGACCGTTCGATTGTAATCACCAATATTTAGGCTATGTTTATCTATCTCCATTCGTTTGTCTTGTAACATTCCTAATAAATGCAGGAGACTATGTTATCAAACAGGAAGACAACCCAATTGGTTTCAGATAAATTTACAACAAAAGCAAAACACTCACTTGGCTGAAATGACTTCAGCCAAGACAAAGATATGTGAAAAATACACCTGTATTTCATAAATTTTGCATTCCTCACAAGTAAAGTTGCAATTAGGAGATACTGTTATTTTATTGAAATAATTAACTTGAAATAGACTAGTAAACAGAAGGTGGCTGGCTGATAACCTCCCTTTTTTTTTTTGAGAGAGTCTCACTCTATGGCCCAGGCTGGAGTCTGTCTCTTATACACATCTAGATGTGTATAAGAGACAGCTCCCGGGTTCAAGTGATTCTCCTGCCTCAGCCTCCCGAGCAGCTGGGGCTACAGGTACCCCCCACCACGCCCAGCTAATTTTTGTATTTTCAGTAGAGATGGGGTTTCACCATGTTGGCCAGGCTGGTCTCAAACTCCTGACCTCAGGTGATCTCCCTGCCTTGGCCTCCCAAAGTGCTGGGTTTACAAGTGTGAGCCACCGCGCCCGGCCTATAAGTGCTTTATGTGTACTAATTTAATGCGTGTAACTATACTGTTATCGCCCGTTTAGCAGATGAGGAAATTGGACGCCAGACAGGGTAACATCTTCCCCTCTCTTAGGCTTTGCTCTGCCTGCTCCTCTCCTCATTCTGACTGCTGTGCAATAAAACATGAATTCTCTCATGGAAACTTTTTTCCTGCAAAATCTTCTTTGCTGGACATAGCCAGCTCCAGCCCAAAAGCTACAGTTCTATTTCAACAAATCTTTTAAAAGTGGACAATGTTCTCTACTACCCACCCTCACCATCTGCCCATTCTGGTTTCTCTACCTCTATCCATGCTGAGCTCACCTTGGGTGCTTCTTCAATGCTGGAATACTCTGAGGCCGACACGGTAGACTCAGGGTCTCAGTCTTTTGACTCTCTCTGTAAACTTGCTTTCCTTAGACTTCATTCACTATCAAGGTATCAGCAGTCACTACCATTCAAGTGATGCCCAAATATAAACGTGTAGCTTAGACTTCACAACTGAGCTCAGTCCCACATTTTTACCTGACTGCCATATCCACTTTGATGTCCCATTGTCACTTTTTTTTTTTTTTTTTTTGAGACAGTGTGTGGCTCTACTGCCCAGGCTGGAGCGTAGTGGCACAATCTTGGCTCACTGCAGCCTGTGCCTCCCCGGCCCAAGCGATCCTCTCACCTCAGCCTCCCGAGTAGCTGGGCCTAGTGGCATGCACCACCACGCCCAGCTAATTTTTTTATTTTTTGTAGAGACAAGGCTTCACCATGTTGCCCGAGGGGTCTCCAACTCCTGACCTCAAGTAATCTGTCCACCTCGGCCTCATGAAGTGCTGGGATCACAGGCATGAGCCACTGGGCCCGGCCTCATTGTCACTGTTAACACAGGTTTTCATCTCCCTATTTCTCATTCTCAACGTTTTCTCAATCCGCAAATCTCATCCATCATTTCTCTGCAACTGCTGTTCTTTGAGACGTCTGCCACGACCATAATACTTACCTTTACTACTCTCATTCCAGGTAAGTGGAAAAGGAAAACATTTTAAGAGAAGGAAAACAATTCTTAAAGTAGCTAAAAAGTACTGTTCGAGTCATGAATCTGGTATCTGAAAAATCCACCTTTCACACTTGTTTAAGAGCCCTCTCCTGAATGTCAATAATCCTTATCACAGCTCCCTCCTCTGTTCCCTCTCCCTGTTAAGATGTCATAATTCACTGATAACACCCAAGCTAGCCATTGTGAACTCTTTCCCCCACTCTCTCCATCTAATCCTGTAACCAATTCCAACCAGTTCTCCTAAGTCTCTCTCCAAGCTGTTCCTTCTTGATAATTCACATTATTTTTGCCTATGCAATTATCTTTTGAAAGACTAATAGTGGCTGAGCATGGTGGCTCACGCTTGTAATCTCAGCGTTTTGGGAGGCCGAGGTGGGCAGGTGTTCGCGACCAGTCTGCCAACATGGTGAAACCCCATCTCTACTAAAAATACAAAAAATTAGCTAGGCACGGTGGCGGGTGCCTATAATCCCAGCTAATCAGGAGGCAGAGGCAGAAGAATCGCTTGAACCCGGGAGGCAGAGGTTGCAGTGAGCTGAGATAGCGCCACAAGACTCCAGCCTGGATGACAGTGCAACACTCCATCTCAAAACAAAACAAAACAAACAAACACAAAAAAAACACCATTCCCCAACACTTCTGCATCCCTTTAAAAAGAAAATGTCAAATGTGGCAATCTCCCCTTAGTCCACCAGTCCTCTAGTAAGGTCCATTAGTTACCAATGACTACCCCCGAGCTCCATTGTCAAATCCATTCCCTGACAACCAGTTTTCTCTTTTCAAAACTCTGTACTCACTTGGAGTCTGAAAAATTATTCTACTCTAACTTGTCCCACTTCTGCTTAGGATCACTCCCCTAAATATCATTATTTCCCAGCACTGTCTTCGGTCCATTATCCTCCAACTCTCTCTAGTCAAACTATTCCTATAGCTTTCACTATCATCCACATCTAATTAATTACACTTCATATCTCCAGTCCCATCTATTCTGAGCTTCACATCCGGATTTTCGACTGTCTACTGGACGTAATGTCAGATGGTTTTCAGAGCACCTTCAAACTTAGTATCTATCAAGCCTGCTATTCCTGTATTTCTCACCTCAAATAACGACCATTTATTGATTTATTGTCTCTCAGCTCCAAGTTCACCCTTTTGACTGCTCTATGAAAATATATCTGGACCCTTTACAATTTTTTCCTTAGCCAGCTGGTACTGAGGCTTTGTCAGAAGAGGGCGCTGGAGAGACAGGGCAAGAGGAAGGGTGTTGCTTCCTGGGCCAGCATGTGCTCTTGGTAGGCATGAGCAGCCTTTGCAGCTTCTCCATTGCCTGGTGGGTCAGCAGCACTCAGTGGGAGCTTCTCCCAGCATTCCCAGCATTCCCCTCCCTCTCACATCACAGTTGTGCTGCAGTGTCTCCCATGAGACACCTCTCCATGAATGCCTTTTCCCAGCACCCTAGAGGGCATATTTCCCACAAGTTCCACCAGCATGACACCACAGCAACTTCTGCACCATGCAGTGAGCCATGAAGGAGGCAGAAACTTGTACTAACAGGAAGAGGCTCACATTCTGGACATGGATTTTTCTTGCCTGTAAAGCTTCTGTCATCCACAGCCTCACAGAATACCTTCTCCACTATCGTGGCACTCCTCACAGCCATCATGTCTTACCAAGAAACTCATGTCACAGCAGAGGAAATACAGGACTGTGTTCATGCCCATGGAATTAACTGGTCTTAACATATATGCCATTGCCTGAAAGTAGCTAATCAAATAAACAGGCTTACTAAAGAATCAGTTACAAAGCAAGTTGGGAGACAACATACTAAAAGGGTGGGCATCTGTCTTAGGAGGATGCAGTATGTGTCTCCCCAACTACCAGAATTTGTAGGTCTTGAGAATCAAAAGGTGAAAGTGGGAGCAGCTTCTCTCACAATTATACCTAATGGGCCACTTACAGAACACTCCTTTCCTGTTCTGACAACTGCTGATTTAGAGAACTTAGTCCTTGAGAGAGAAAACGCTTCCAGCAAAAACCACAACAATGGTTCCACTGCCCTGGAAGATGAAGACTGCTACAGGGACATTTTGCACTCCTTGAGATATGAACTAGCAGGCAAAAAACAAACCAACCAACCAACAAACAAAAAACGAGTCTACTGGCTGGGGTAACTGATGTGATTACAAAATGAAGGCAGTGAAGACTGTCTGGAATCCAGGGGATTCTCTGGGAAGCTTCTCTATATCCATACCAAGTAGTGACGGCCAATGAAAAACAACGGTAACCATAAAAGTCAAGGACAACTGGGGGCTCAGATTCTTTGGGAATGAAGGTTTGGGTTACTTAACTCCAGCAGCTAAAGAACCAAGAGCAGCTGAGGTTCAACCTGAAAGTGAGGTAAGTACAGAATATGCAGTGAAGGGAGGAAGGCACAGATACCAATGATGGCTTATGAGCAATTATAGAAATAACAATGGTAGTAGATTTGCATATTTTCCTATTGTTTGTCATATGGATGTGTTAATTTGTATAGGCCAAGTATTTTCTTTCCTGCTTTTACCTTAGTCACAAGTTATTAGATGTTAAGTTTTATTATTTAGTCTTTAGGTAACAAACTGTGACTGAATTTCCGGGGTGATTATATAGCCAGTGATGAATACAATGACCCTTGGGGCTGTTCATCTCCTCAGTTTAGAGAGAGGATGAACACTTCTTCACTTGCAAGAAAGCAAGCTATATCTTGTTAAGCAGAAATGCAGAGTTGCATTGCCACTGTACTGGACAAATGTGCGTAGAAGAGTACATATGGAAGGTGAGCAGCCAAAGGGTTGGGATGAACTGTGCTGATTACTGACTTATTTCCTCTAGCTCCAATTTCACCCTTTTTGATTGCTCTGTGAAAAAAAAAGGGACTTAGGCCCTTTACAGATTTTTTTCCTTTGCCAGCTAGCACTGACCTTTTTTAAGTAGAAGGTGCAAGAGGAGACATTTGGTTTCCTAGTTCTGGTCTGCTCTCTCCTGCAGCACGGCAGCTTTGCCAGCACCTACAATGCTCAACTCACCAGTGGCTGGCAGCATCTATCAGCATGCCCTCTGGTAGCTCCGTAGCGAGTGCCTCCCATGAGACACCGCTCCTGTGCCCTGCCTTCACTGGTATCTTAGAGGGTGGATCTCCTGCACTCCTACTGACATGGCACCATAGTGAGAGGAAGGCGGCTCTTTCTTGGGCATGCTACGTCAGTCCTCACTGAGTGACTTTCCCTTGTATCTGCTAATGCTACTCCAATTCCTTGTTAAGGTCTTGTATATTACATTTTTCCTGTTAGCAAATTACTGCATAGTTTCTTCTGACTGGACTCTGATTAACACAATAGCACTACCATCTATTAAACCATCCAGGTAAGTTTTCATCACAATCTCTCCCTCAACCTGCCTAACAAATTGGTTCAAACTGGTTATCAACTTTTATTGATTCCAATTCCTATGTCTCGATGGAATTAAGATCATTCGCATCTACTCTCTTGGTTTGGAGCTTTGAAAATAATTACTGGCTACTGCAGCAAGTATCTACCTGGTTTTGCTATCTTTAGTATCTTTTCTCTATCTCCTGCTGCCAATGTTTTCTATCCTAAGATATTTTCAATCTATAACCAAGATGATTTTTCTAAAACATAAGTCCAAACCATGTCATTACCCTGCTTCACTTTAATCTCATATTTTAAGAATGAAGTTCAAATTCCCAAGCTCCTCATGACTTAGCACCAACCTGGTTTTCTAGCATCTTTATCCAGGTGATCTTTCACCACCATCACCACGGCTGCGCCCACCAAAACTGTTTTTCTTGACTTGTTCTATGGAACTACTTACCATTCCTCCAGTATAGTTTTAAGAGTCTGTCATACGTCTAGGCCCTTCTACCTGCTGTTCCTTAATCAAGAAGACTATACCCTCCAATCTGAGTAACTCCCTCTTGGCAGGATTATGTGTAAAGTAATGAGACTAATAACACCACTGTAATCAGACTAATAACACCACTGATGTGCACAGTGGTCTGCACTTCCAAGGCACACACACTCATTTAACCACAGCATGTATACGTCTATTGGAGAGCACAGCCTCCCCACCATCCTGATCTACGTCAGGGCTCTTTCAGCAGAATCATGTCACGGATGTGCTTGTCCCTCAATAAGGAATATAAACAGATTTAATTTTCTCTTACCTCCAGAAAGGTCCATTTTATTGCTTTGTACATTTTCCTCTGGTGAGTCTCTCTGAAGAAAGAAAATGCAGCATGTTAGCAGACCTTAATTTATCAATGAAAACGAATAAAAAATGAAGAATTTTACTGTATTTCATTATCTGAAAAATTCAAGTGGATCATAAAGCTTCATTTTTCATTGCCTAATGTAATTTTTTAAATGTTTTAAAATAAAACATGTGACTGAAGTTCTTAGCTAAAACCATAAAAATAAAGGTTTGGAGGCCAATTTTACTCCAACATCAAGCACATTCCTAAGGACTCGAAGACGAAAAATAATTCTTGAAAAGAGTGAAATCGAGATAAACCATGGAGCACCATTAAAAGAGGAAGGAGCTGCTAAGAAAACATACTTACCGAAAAACTGATATTTGAAAACTGTTTAACAAATGGATTTATCCACGCCTCTTCTTGTTTGTTTCCACCTTTCATCATTCCCTTTGTAAAATAAAAGAGTAGAAAAGATGCCATGGCCATCTCTGTTTATCTGGGTATAGTGACGGATTAATAAAACTTAAGACAATCCCCAATTCTCATTTTTAGCCAATAATTTCTCCTCCAATCAACTCTTATCAGAGTTGTTAATAATTAAAAATCAACTTATTTGATTTTCAACTTCCTTTGCTCCAGTCCTCTGGTATAGCTGTAATGTACAGAGAAATCTCTAAAGGCAAGCAGTCAGAAGGAAAAGACAGAAGCAAAAGGCCTCGATGACCCAAAAATATGAAAACAGGGCCTCTGAGTAGTGGAGAACTGTAAGAGTAGTTATAATTTAGATTTCTGGAATTCTCACTCCAAACCAAAGTAAAAAAATAGTGACTAGGTCCTCAGGTTAGTCCGAAGAAGCCAATTTAACCCATAATTTAATTATGCTATGTGCATCCTACTGAAAACACACCATGTTTTCCACAGGAAAAGTATTTTAAAATTTCAATTTGTGTTGCCAAGAACACAACATCTCTAGCAGAATTGAACCTGGGATTCCTCCTGCTTAGGGCTGGCTGGCTCTCTGCAGCTGGTTGGGGTATGAGTGGTATGGAAACTCCATTGAGACCTGAGTTAAGAGGATGAAGGGTCTGTGATTAGCAGTCTGGTAGACAAGGAGGCTGGAAGCCATAGAGACCTATGTCTCTCATTATGGTCTCACAGAACCATCCTCAGTCTGTTGCCTTCATCACCCTTTCCCATTGCTACTGTCTATTCCTTCTGACTGTGAAACAGAACACAGCTTCACAACTTCCCCCCAAATGCAGGTCTCTGAAGCAAGCACCTAACTCTCTCCGCAGATTCTGAAGTTGGCTTTGATCCCTTTTCCTTTCACCCCATCCATCCCCATACCTAACTAGTTGCCAAGTTCTTCTGTCCTTTCTATTCTGACTGAAATGCCTCTCAAATTAGTCCCTTCCACTATATATCCAGTCTCATTTCCCAACTCAAGCCCTCCTTTCTAGCTTGAATTAACACAGATGCTCCCTGAGATCCCTAACTGTGGTCTCCCCTCTGTGCCAAATTATATTTCATACTATCATTGACTAAAATTAATAATTAAAAAACCCCACTGATGTTGTTTTCTACTCAATTTCATTGGTTCCATATTTTACACAAAATAAAGTTCAAATTCTTGGCATGCTATTGAAGACACTACAATCTGCCTTAACTATAGAGCCAGATCTCTTGTCACTTCTTCCTAAAAATTCTACATTTTAGTTATGTTGGGCTACTATCTTCCTTAACACATCCCATCCCAAGCATCTTCCAAATTCAAGCTGACACTTCTATGAAGCTCTCCTAATACCCCGTACTAGACTGTGAGCTCCCGAAAGGTGAAGCTCATATCTTAGTGTATTTGAATCCCCAGCACCAAGCACAGTACCTGGCACACAGCAGAGGCTAAATAAATGTTTGCAGTTGCTTTCTAAAGATTTTTACTAGTAGAAACAAAGGAGAAAGAGTAAAAAGGCTACACACCCTTTCCCTTCTCCTTTTTTTGCCACTCAGACCCTGTAAGGAAAGACAAAGTCACAAAACAGCATGGTCCAGTGGGAAGAACACAGGGTTTGGAATTGGAAGACCTAAACTTAAGTCCTTACTCTGTCACTAGTTATTGCAACTTTGGGCAAGTCACCACCTTTTCCAGTCTCAAATTCCTCATTAGTATCCTATCTTAGAAGGTTGTGAGGATCAAATGACTTATGTAAAACATGTAAAAGCATTTCATAAGCTATATGGCAAGGCAATAGGCAAATTCAGCCAAATGAAAAATTTTAAAAATGAAAATGGCAGGTCCTAGACTTAGAATCCCAGGATTAAAAGTGAGGAACCTTGGCAGTTACCTAGTCCAACTATCCACTGGTATTTGCCTTCTAAGGTCTCTCAAAAGGTAATCATTCTCAAGTCGGGTGGGATAGGATGTTATATCAGAACCACCTGGGAGACTGGGCACCTATTTTGAAAATGGTCGTCCCCAGGAAGACCTGACGCCAGCCCCCAGTGCCACCTCTTACGAACCAGTGCTCTAAATCAGTGCTTCCCAAACCTGGCTCTGCATCAGAGACATTTGGGGAGTTTCTTCAGGATAAGAAACCTGGTCCAATTTCCAAAACTTCAGTAGACCTGAGGTACGGGAAGCTGCACTTTTAACAAATGCCATGGGATTCCGATGTACAGCCAGCTTTAGGAATATGATTTGTCCACACATAAAAGCCAAATCAAGCTCAGATCATTCCTAGGGATTTCTGTCACAGGACCTTTTGGGATGGGATAGGGACAAAGATGACAGGTGAATAAGGAGGATAGTGACTCTGGGTAAGGGGGTGGCGGGGGACTCCAGGTGAGGAGGTGAAATGGGAGATGAACTGGCAGTGGGATGGAAAGAGTCAACATGGAGATTTGCTCTTCTCTTCATCCTCACCGCTGCAGGCACCACCCTAGGATGAGGGGTTGTCCCAGGCAGCACTGGTGGAGGGGGAGGAGGAGAGAAATCCCAAGCTGTAGCAGTGGGGAGAAAGGAAGTTCCTGTGGTCTTATGTTTCTCTAGGTGGCTGCCCATACAAGTGGCTATACCTAAGGTGGGGGCTGCCTGGACTGTACTGACTGCCAGAAATGGGCAGGCAAAAAATTAATTTTCTGTGGGTAAACTACCTTTGGAATTTAAAGTTTCAAGGGCTTTGCCCTTGAAATGTTTACCTTCGATGACATTTTCTTTGTATATGGTGGCCAATTTAAAGATGAGTTAAGCTCTTGAGACGAATTACTATTCCACATTCCAATCTCTACATCCTCTTCCTCTTCCCAGCCAGTGGGGCGATTTCCAGGCAATGGCATATCATCACCACACCAGCCATCTTGCATAGATTTTGGCCCTGATTGTGGATTTGTGATATAAAGAGAAACATACTTTAATAAAAGAATTCCTTCTGGAGAATAAGCATACATTAAAAATTGGGTAGAGAACCTAAGAAAACACACACGCACACACTTATTTCCCTTCCTGCATCTGCACAGAAGGAATGTATGTTTTATACTGAGCTAAAAGTTCCACGAAAAAGAATACATTCTTGGCCGGGCACGGTGGCTCACGCCTGTAATCTCAGCACTTTGGGAGGCTGAGACGGGTGGATCACGAGGTCAGGAGATCGAGACCATCCTGGCTAACACGGTGAAACCCTGTCTCTACTAAAAATACAAAAAATTAGCTGGGCGTCGTGGCGGGCGCCTGTAGTCCCAGCTACTCGGGAGTTCAGAGGCTGAGGCAGGAGAATGGCGTGAACCCTGGAGGCAGAGCTTGCAGTGAGCCGAGATCGCGCCACTACACTCCAGCTTGGGCAACAGAGCGAGACTCCGTCTCAAAAAAAAAAAAAAAAAAAAGAAAAAGAAAAAGAAAAAGAACATATTCTTATTTTAAAATCTAATAAAACTCCTCCATGCCTTTAACAAATCATGGTTCTTGAACATGGACAATGGTAGCACTCTTGTTTGTACCCACTTAATAATCTGCATAGTGACACACAGGACGAAGATGATGAATGAAATTTGAAATCATCAGTTTTTGTATATATTTTCAGGGAGAATGGCCAAAGAGTATTTCAAAGTCATAAGCAGAAAGCATCTTATCTTCACACATGGCCCTTGGGATTCCTATAGGGTATCTTTTACATAACCTATAGGATAATGACAATGTTAATTTGAATCTTGGGTCTTTTCTGAACTATGCTAATTGTCTGTAACTTTCAGGGAATCATCTGACAGTCTGAATATGTGTCCTCATGGCTACACTATTTAGCCTCTCAGGCTGGATGGCATGAAAGTTGCTAGTAGACTCTTCGTAGATAACCTAATTTGGTAAAATATAATTTAGATTTGATGAAGTATATGCAAATTAACAGTTACAATTCTAAGAAATATGACAAAAGAGGAAAATTCAGAAAGAGAATAAACCATGTTACAAAATCAAAGAGCAAAATACTGAACATCATCTATCGTGCCATATTATATGATTATAAATAACACAGAAACCTTATCTAATTATTTAATTATAGTCAGTGAGTGATCACCACTGCTACACAACAGCTACCAGGCATTGTCAATAACTTACCAGATTTGTTTAATGCTTGTGGACCAACAGAGCTGGAGCCCCACGTGGATGTGCTGGATGCCGCAGCAATGGGTTCCCCCCAGCTGGGACCACTGTCTATGGGCTTACCCCATGCTGAAGTACCATTATCCACAGTTGTGGCTGGAGTAGAAGGCTCCCCCCAGGGCTCACCCCAGCCTTTAGAAAGTGTGGGAAAAGAAGTCATCAGCATAGAAGGTAAGGAGGTGCAGTGGAATAAGGGACAATAAAGAATACTTAGGGACCAAGGATGAAGAACCTCATGTTTATGTACAGAATAATGATACTGTGATAGGCAAAAAGATGGCATCGTTTTATGTTTAAAAAAAAAAAAAAAAAGACAAACTATTTCCCATTAATATAACTATAAGGTGAAAATTTTTTAAACTTTTTTCATAATTACCCTCTAGGCCTAGAGCTGATTTTTGCATAGTTATGGGAAACCACTCTCCTTTGAGCATCAATTTAATTCCTGAAAAAGTCAAGTCATTCTAAACCAAACCTTGTGAATTGGAGCAGGTGATAAGCTGGGTGACAGTGTATGTATAACATTTGTACCAGCTGGGTACAGTGGCTGATGCCTGTAATCCCAGCACTTTGGGAGGCCGAGGCAGGTGGATCAGCTGAGATCAGGATTTTGAGACCAGCCTGGGCAACATGGCAAAACCTGGTCTCTACTAAAAATACAAAGATTAGCTGGGCATAGTGGCACACACCTGTAGTCCCAGCTACTCAGGAAGCTGAGACAGGAGAATTGCTTGAACCTGGGAGGTGGAGACTGCAGTGAGCCAAGATCATGCCACTGCACTCCAGCCTAGGTGACAGAGCAAGACTTCATCTCCCCCCACCCAAAAAAAAAAAAAAAATTGTGGCACAAGTGTACCCCTTCCACACCACATACACTGGAAAAACAATGTACTACCCAGCTAACAATAATGGGTCACCTACTTTTTACACATGCTGAACAATCCTTATTTTAAAATCTGAAGTATTAGGTTGAGGTTGTCCAAAGTAAAAAAAAAAAAAAAAAAAAAACCACCACTACCACAACAAAAAAAAAGCCATAAACGTTTCATTAAGAAAAAATAAAAGCCAACAGGCTTCACCTTAGATACATACTTCTTCCTTTTAAGAATCAAACCTAAATTAATACAACAAACTATACTTAGACTGAAAAAAAAAAAAAATTAGGCGCCGAAAAGTTAGCTCATGAAAGCACTCCCATATCCACTTCCAATGAGACTATTAATAAAACTTTTACTAACAAAGACAATGTAGCCAATCACACTTAATGAAAATGTTGTCGGGATAATTTGCAGAGACAGGAATTAGTTCATTATAAGAGAGGAAAGTAAGGATATACTAGAAAGGTATTATCAAACATTTTTAATACACAAACATATATACTGTATCTAAGTAGAGTTGGATTTCTCACCTACTTAAAAAAAATCCCTTCTAGAGCCAAATATAGTACCTAATGTTTAGAGAGTACTGTATTTATGAGATACTTGTTTTATTTCTGGAGATATTTAGTCAAATAATAAAACCACTCTAAACAACTTAGAGAAGTGTACAGCATTTCCACTTGACCGCCCTTGTCCAATTCACCTTCTGTTGCATTTCTAATAGAGAATGAAGTGTGCAGGACTCAAAACAACACTGCCAAAAGTGGAGCTCTGTTCTCTGGTGGTAAACATCACCCCTGTAATTTTCTTCAAGCTGCTTCTGGATTACAGTAAGGAACAGCCTTTGTGTACATATCCAAGCACTTTGTTATACAAATCTTATAAAAACAGTAAGTTAAAATAAGTCTTGATTTCATAAAATAGAAACTTACCAGAGCTACTGCTTGCCTCTTTGTTTGAGATGGCACTTGCAGGCGTTAGCAGCTGATGTACCTGTGCTTGCTGGTCTGAACGGCTGTTGCCATTTGGGACGTTTTTGTTCCACATGTTCACATTTTTGTAGTTGTATTTGCTTGGATCTCCCCAAGCTGAAGTTCCATCATCAATCTCCATTTTGCGACGTATAGATTCTGGGGATGGTTCCTCCCAGCCTGTGGGTTCTTCTTCTTTTGTTGGGGCTGGTATAGGTCCCCCCAGCCAGCCTGTACCAGGAGGTTTGCCTGTAGCTGGTGGGATTCCCCAAGATCCAACAATGTCTTGTTGCTTGTTCCAGTCTGGAGAACTGACTGGCTTTGACGAATCTCCCCAACCTAGAGACTGATTAGACTTTGGAGGGTCTCCCCATCCCTGGGAAGGAGTAGGTTTAGAAGATTCATCCCATCCTGATGAATTATTTGGATTTATGTTGTTTCCCCAAGTAAAAGAACTAGTTTTACCAAGTTCGTTCCAACCGGAAACGGACCTGTCGCTGTCACTACCTCCTGAGCTGGATTTCTTATTGGCCTCACCCCAATGGTTACTCCTTGAAGTTTCTCCCCAGTTATCACTGGCAGAAACAGACCACCCTTGGCTTGATTTCTGTCCATCACCCCATCCCTGTTTGTTCTTTTGCGAGTCATTCCATGTAGCCTTCTCCTCTTTGCAATTCCCCCACTGATTGCTCTTGACCATTCCTGTAGCAGCAGAATCATCTTCCCACCCCCCCTGGCAGTTTGAGCCTTTGGAATCTCCCCACCTCAGAGCAGGTTTGGGATCACCCCACCCTGATACAGATGAGGTATCATTACTATTAGGGCTAGTCTTATCTATACATGCCCCTGAGTTAAAAGTCTGTGTTGCAGAGCTTCCCCAGGCCTCTGTCCCATTGTCAGTCTTTCGTTCCCCTCTAGGTGATGTTTCTGTATCCCAGGCAGTATTCTGCTTAATAGGAGTCTGTCCCCAACCAGAGTTGGACAGGACACGTGGATCTAAGTCAGTTCTGTTTACAATGCTTTGGAGTAATGTGTGCTGATCAATTTTTCTTCTGTCTCTACTCTGACTTTCTCCAGTTCCTTTTTCCTCAAGGCGTCCAGTGCTTTCTGTACTACCATCGCTCTCCACTGTACCTCCTGTTTTGGCCCACACACTGCTTTGCTCATTTGTCTGAGATGTGGCAGAACCCTGATCCTCTTCCTCAGTAGATTTCCATCCATTTGTAAACTTCTTACCATTGCCATTTGCACTGTCATTGGAATGCTGATTGCTAGGCAGTTTGTTCCACTCACCGCTGGGTAAATTAGTGCCAGTGTTTTGTGCAGGGGTTCCCCATCCTCTTCGACTTCCTCCAGAATTCGCGCCATTTCCACTTCCCCATGATGCACTCTGGGAATTTGCTGCACCAGATTCCCACACACCACCTCCTTTGTTTGTGTTAACTTGAAAGTTAGTGCCCATAGGCCCATTTACGCCAGGCTGCATTAGAGTTGCATTCACAGTGTCACCATTAGCTTGGCCATTAGGGCCTGAACATTTGTCTCCAGAGTAATTAGAACCATAGGCACCCCATGTAGTACCATAAGAGCCTCCACTTTTTGACTCTCCATTGCTAAGGTGAGAAAGGGAAGTGCCATTCATACCTGATGGAGCCTGCATCTGAGGATGATTCATTGTGCTCACACGCCAGGCCCCTGTATTACTACTAGGCAGCTCATTATTCTGCACTGAACCGGAGTTTGGTAAACTAGAGGTCATAAAGTTAGTAGTGTTATTTGGTCCAGTCATTTCAGTGGTAATATTCTGAGGTTGACCACTGAATGAAACCTTCTGTGTACCACTTACTTCAGATTCACAAGTTTCCTGAAGGCTTCCCCAGGTACCATGGGTAGAACCACCACTCACTTTAGAGTTAATACTCTGATTGTTAGGCATCTGGCCTATAGTACTGCACTGAATATTGATGCCAGAACTACCACTCCCTACAGGCCCTTTTAGGGCAAGTCCATTATTCTCTAATACTGGCCAGGCACCATGGTTGCTAGCTGAATTCAAAGTGCTTGGATTTAACCCTCCATTTGATGAAGAACTTACAGTGCCCCAAGCATTCATTCTATTGTTGCTACTTTCAGATTTGCTTTCAGGAGCATCCACAGAGACCTGACATGTGCTTATTATGGCTCCATGGGAAAAACCCCATGGCCCAGTACTACTTCCATGGCCCACATTATTGCTGCTGCTACCAACTACAAACTTGTTTTGGGAACCAAGTCCAGTGCTATTCCGAAGGCCATCTTTTTCACCACCTGTGTTCCCTGAAGCCATGATAGTGATGTTTCTTTCCGACTCAGAACTGGAGGCAGAATCAGCATCCATACATTCTGAAGCCAACTCCGGATCACTGCCAGGGACTGAGGGCCATGCTTCTTTTTCCGACAAGTCACTTACAACAGCATTCTTACAGTTTGTGCTAGAATCGCTTGTAGAAGACACAAGTCCCCGCTGGGAATTTTCATAATGGGATCCTGAAGTACTGTGGTTTATATCTAGGATAAAGGAGAAGTACAACTATTTATAAAAGTGTTAGGCCATTTCAAAATGACACTAAAATTTAAGAAAAATGATGAATATGTTATAAATAAACGTGGCTCCTCAAATTTAACAATGGTAGAATGGTTACAAGGGCACTGGTTATCTTCTAGCCACCAACTTTCCATGTTCAACTGATATTATCCTAAGATCCTAGAGGACACAACAGCCCCTTGATAAATACTTGCTGAATGAATACATTGTTAACATATCAGCAAATAAAAGAATTTTGGAGTCAAGAAGGTCTAGGAGGCAGCTACACATTAGGATAACGGAACAACCCAGGCGTAGAAGCCTGACATGGAAAGATGGGTAAGGAGAAGTGAATAGCCAAAATTTGATAAAATGTATCAGAAATATTTTTCCACCCTCTGTTTTCTACTATAGCTTTTCCAAACAACTGTTTTGGGTATTGTAACAAGTTTATATTTTTTTTTTTTTGAGACAGAGTCTCGCTCTGTGCCCAGGCTGGAGTGCAGTGGTGCGATCTCGGCTCACTGCAAGCTCCGCCTCCCGGGTTCATGCCATTCTCCTGCCTCAGCCTCCCGAGTAGCTGGGACTACAGGCGCCGCTATCACGTCCGGCTAATTTTTTTTTTTTTGTATTTTTAGTAGAGACGGGGCCAGGATGGTCTCCATCTCCTGACCTCGTGATCTGCCCGCCTCGGCCTCCCAAAGTGCTGGGATTACAGGCGTGAGCCACTGCACCCAGCCACAAGTTTATAAAAATTTTTAAGAATGGTAAGAATTTGAAAGCTTTTATCATTACATTCCATTTCATTAGTATCCATCTTCAACCTGAAATATTACATCCAAGTAACAGTATTTTCAGTTCAACTTCCTCTCATAAAATTTTCTTAATTTACCTTCCTAACCACATTTATATAAAAGGACAGAAAAGTAATGGTTAATTGTTATGCTGAAGATCACAGAATTATTATGATCTCAAAAAATCAACTGCTGACACTGGAGCCATTTGATGACCAGTCATACAATCCTATAATCTTGGACTTCCTGCTATGTATTACTATCTAGCTATTTTACCACAGGTAGGGTGGTTCTAGTGCTTCTGATAGTTCCCCATATTCTTAACTCTCACTTGGTTTAAGGATCTGGTAGGTAGACATTCCTCAGAGGCATTAACCTGCATAAGCCATGTGCATTTCGACTGCCTTGAGGGGCAGGTTATATTGCAGTTTTCTACTAAAGTACCAATCAGAATCACATGTAGTGCTTTTAAATATACATGTTCAAGGCAATGTCCCAGACCTAATGAGCCAACCTTCAGGGGTTGTAGGCCTAGGAGATAAACAGAAGTCACTATTAAGGTGATTTGCTAAAATGGAAAATCAGATTCAATTTGCATCATTTTCTCTCAAAGCACAATCATTAAGCAGCAAAAGATGATGAGCTGGAAAGAGTCTGGAAAAGTGACTGGAGAGAGACCAGAAATGATATAAATTCATCAAATAACATACTTTAAAGTTCCATAGATGACTCTAATTTCCACTCCCTGTTTAAGAATCATTTCTTTAATGATTCCTAAAGCTGCCAAAGAAGATTTGCCATCTTTCAGTGCCCATGAGGAGAATTTCTCATGAAATAAAGGGTAACAGTAAGTCAGACTCACTGGGTATAAGCAAATCAACACACTAACATCTGCACCGGCACCATCAACAAATGTTTGGCATTCAGGACTATGTCTGACAACTTTCTGTGCACTTTTATCACCGAATCCTTACAGCTACCCTAGAGGATAGGCATTACCTTCACTTGCAGATGACAAAATTGAGGTTCACAGGTTAATTTATGGAAAATTAAGTGAGAAAGGCAGGATTCATCAGAATCCTTCATAAAGCAAGGTGCCTAAGAAAGTAGACAGGACTCTAGAGACCCCCAGATTCAAGTCTGAACTCTGTATGACCAAATCTGCAAAACCAGAATATAAACAATACTTCTTAACCTGGTTCTTTTGTTAATTGTATCATATGTAAAGCATTAAGCTCAGTGCTGGCTGCAAATAAGTGCCTCGTTAGGGTCAATTTGACATAGTGATTAACAGCACAGATTGGGTAGCCAGAATGCGTGGGTTTAAGAGACACTCCTACCATTTACTAGCTGTGTGACCACGGTAAGATCCTCAATCTCTGTGCCTAGTTTCATCTCTGAAGTAGAAATAGTATTAGTACCAGGCCAGGCACAGTGGCTCACCCCTGTAATCCCAGCACTTTGGGAGGCCAACGTGGGTGGATCGCGAGGTCTGGAGTTCGAGACCATCCTGGCCAACATGGTGAAACCCTGTCTCTACTAAAACTACAAAAAATGAGCCGGATGTAGTGGCGGGCCCCTGCAGTCCCAGCTACTCGCGAGGCTGAGGCAGGAGAATTGCTTGAACCGCGGAGGCGGCGGAAGTTGTTGCAGTGAGCCGAGATGGCGCCACTGCACTCCAGCCTAATGACAGAGTGAGACTCCGTCTAAAAAAAAAAAAAAAAAAAAAAGAAACAGTATTAGTATCAATCTCACACAACTGTGGTGTGGATTATTAAAACTGTACTGGCCAGGCGCGGTGGCTCACGCCTATAATCCCAGCACTTTAGGGGGCCAAGGTAGGTGGATCACAAGTCAGGCGATGTTAATCATCCTGGCTAACATGGTGAAACCCCGTCTCTACTAAAAATACAAAAAAATTAGCCGGGTATGGTGGTGGGTGCCTGCAGTCCCAGCTACTCAGGAGGCTGAGGCAGAATGGCGTGAACCTGGGAGGCAGAGCTTGCAGTGAGCCAAGATCGCCCCACTGCACTCCAGCCTGGGCAATAGAGCATGGCTCTGTCTCAAAAAAAAAAAAAAAAAAAAAAGGTACTCTGTACTATATCTGATCCATATTAGGTGCTTAATAAATGAGGTCTATTATCACTGATAAATGCATGCTAAGGATTATCATCTTTTAGTCCTATCTCCAAAGCATGTTTTTCATTCCACCACGTCTCCCTTATGAAGAACAAAGTGAGAAATCATATAACTTCCTTACTTAAAATTTCCACTTAGATACCTGAATATTCTACCTTAGATACCTTATCTTAGATACCTTAGATATTCTGAAAGCAGAATCTTCTAATTCTGGATTTACACTCCAACAGAGTGTAAATTCCTCTCCTCCCAAAGGGGGCAAAAACTGTTTCTTTAAAAGTTTTTCTCATCTCAGTAAGTTTCCTAAAACCTAGAATTTATCTTCTATTCCTCCCTGTGCACAGCAAATCCAAAACAACATCAAGTCCAAAATCTATATACCTTTTCTCCAAATCTACTGCAAACATATTTCTGCTGCCACTATTTGCATGCATAACAGTGTGTGTGTGTGTGTGTATGGCCACTTTCATAAAGCAGGAGTAAGAAAACAAGATTGGCCATCAAAAACAAAACTACCCAAATGGAAAATAAGAAATGGATCCAGAATTCAAGAGTGAAACACCACAAGCATTCCCATAATGACAAGAAAAAGACAAAAATACTTGTCATCAATACTACTATTCGGTCCAGTGTTAGAACTACTAACTGATAAAATATGACTCAAAAATGGGAGGTAAAGATAATAGAATAGAGGCAAAAAAGATCAACATGAAAAAACAATTTTCTTTCTACATGCCAAAAATAATCCAGGAGAAAATGTTGATGGGGAAAGATCTTAATCATTAAGAGCCATAAAGTAACTGGAATAAAGCTAGCAAAAATATTTAAAGTCGTATATGATTATATTTTATTGCAGGCCATAGAAGACACTTGAAAGTGAAGACACTTGTTACTGGATATGAAGATGCAACAATGCTCTAAGTTTAATTCAATTATAAGAAATTGTTAACAAGAGTCTGTAAAAATGATTATAAGTGATTTAAAAATTCTGTAAAGCAAATGGGAGAGTAACCCTCTAAAAGATTTCAAAAAGAAGAGGTTGTGAAGAAGAGAATCTGCATTATCAGGAAATAGTTGAACAGCACTGCACTGCCAGACAGCACTTTGACTGAACAGAAAAAGTAACCCAGAAACAGATCCAAGTATATGTCAAAGATACTATTTCAAGGATTAGCATTTTAAATCAGTGGGAAAAAGGAATATTCAGTACTTGAAAACTTTTTAAAATGAGATAATATATTTTTAAAAATCCCAAATGATTAAAACATTAAAAGATGAAACCATGAAGCTATCAATGAATAAGTACTTTTTATACATAAACCATATGTGACAGATTTCACTGTTAATGTTAGAATACATCAAAAGTAAAGCAAAAAAGCAAACACCTGAATATATTCTGGAAATGAGTTCTATCACCTTTAATGTTAGTGAAAAACGTTCTCAGATTCTGGTCATGACCTGGTTTGGTGGCTAAGTTTGTCTTTTAAAATATTATTAACTAAAATCCCATTTTTAATCTAGAAGCCACTTGATCAAAACCTAAATTAAAGATTATTTTAAAAATTGGGTTACCAATGGTGAGTTACAAGGCATTCTGGGTTATAAAAAAGGTTTTAGTTTAGAAAAAAAAATTCGTTTGGCATTTTAACTCATGCCTGTAATCCCAGCACTTTGGTAGGCCGAGGCGGCAGTACTGGTTGGGTCCAGGAGTGAGACCATCCTGGGCAACCTAGCAACACCCCATCTCTACAAAAAATAAAAAAATCAGCTGGGCGTGGTGGCATACACCTGGAGTCCCAGCTCCTTGAGAGGCTGAGGCAGAAGGATCGCTTGAGCCTGGGAGGTTGAGGCTGTAGTGAGTTGTGACTATGCCACTGCACTCAGCCTAGGTGACAGAGCTAGAGTCTGTCTCAAAATGAATAAATAAATAAAAATAAATAAAAGGTGTTGGCTGGGCACAGTGGCTCACTCCTGTAATCTCAGCACTTTGAGAGGCTGAGGCAGGTGGATCAACTGAGGTCAAGAGCCTGGGGCCAGCCTGGCCAACAGGG